TCCTGCTGACCCATAGTTCAGCTCTGTAGCTATGGAACGATTAGACTGTGAAAGAAACAACTTGTCTGTTTTCCCTTCTGCCTTGTGACTAATGCTTTATAAGTGAATTTTGCACACACTGGGCCCATTTCACATATCTGCTGTGTAGGCAGGACTGGTTGTCTGGATCATATATAAGCCATATAAGGAAGCACACTAGCTCTGTAACACGTGTACCTTTTGGTATCACAGAGTGTTTCAAATTCCAAAGATATTTTATAAACACTTAGATTGGGTCTAGGTGATTTTAATGGCATTAGCATGGCCAACTATAAATCTACAGAACAGCTTCAAAATTGGCAGGTCTACCTTCCATGATTATCCACATGTTTAAAGACTTGACCCTATTTGACCTTTTTGCTGAACAACAGGCAGCAGAAACATTCTCAACGCTCAGAGCGGTGCATCAGCTTGGGGAGCTCCCCATCCACCACTGGGCTGAGGCTGGAAGGTGCCTCTGGGGATTGCCTGGTCAAACCCCCTGCCCAAAGCAGGGTCACTGACAGCAGGCTGCTGTGTCCAATTGGCTTTTGAAAAGTCTGTCTTCTTCTTCTTCTTCACTCCTTCTCCTCAGGTGGTTATATGCATTCAGAAGATCCCCCATGAGCCCTCTCTCCCCCCAGGCTGAAGTTCTCAGACCATTCCCTAAACTACTGAAGCAAGCTTTATCTGCAAAGGCATAATGTATGGATGTGTTTCACTGCTTGGCTACCATTCATGTAGTTAAACTCTAAAAACTAGCACAGAAGTTATATAACCTGACTGATAACTGTAACTATATCCGATTTCCTTATTTTTTTTTCATGTAAGATATTCATCTCTCCTATTTCCTGGATTATTCACTTTTGCCTGCTCTTCCAACTATCCAAATGCCATTGGCAAAAATACGCTTTTCCTCTCATGGTTACTCTCATAGTATATCTCTATATACTATATATACACATATCTCTAGCAAGCACACACTGCTTATGGCAAATCTCTTTGTAAGGTAAAATGTATAAAGATTAACACTTGAAATGCTGCATATTAAAGTTTCTAAATTCTATCCCATAATCAGACTAATCTGTGGGGACACAATTCCTTCATTTCCAAATTTAGAAGAGAAAATTTTTACTTTGTAAATGTGAATTAATAGAATTAATTAATTGTACCAAGCTATTTGGTGTTGTTTTATTTGCAATTGCACACCAGTTACGCATTTGTCTGATAAATATTTTACAAAATATATGTTTCAAAGAACTTTAGCTGGTAGCTCTACCCCAATAATTAAGTTCCAGTAAGTCTTTAATTTTGCTTGCTGTCAATATAAAGAATGAAATAATTACTTAAACAGGTATGCTCTGATCTGTAGAACAGTTCAGAACAGATAATTTTATTTTCCAAAAGAATTTGGAGTTAAGGTTACTTACTTTTCAAGATAGTTGAAGAAAACTCCAGTCTGTTGAATTTACATGTTGGAGAAGACCTAAAATATCCTCTGGCTTCAACAGGGATGAGCTTAGTGCTATTAATAAGGTTCTAAATTTGATCTTTGAACAGATGCATATGAAGCAAAAAAAACTCACAACCTGTCAATATCACTGCCTGCATTTAACAAGAGCTAACAACAATAAGCAGAAAAGGGCAGGAGACTTCAAGGAAAGCAGAACAGAATGAACAAATACTGTTCCATATATTTCAAACCAATAATCTAGACTATCATTCAGAGCTTCCTTCTTAAGTAGGTATTTATGAAGACCTTGGTGGAGCCCCCATGAGCTGAGCTGTTAGATATTAGAAAGTTTTAGCAATGTGTATAATACCTGTTAAATTACTAGGGTAAATACATTTACCTGGGACTATGTTTCCAGCAGATGCACCTGCAGAATGTGCTATGTGACACACATGGCCTTAAAGCCACCCCTGTGGGTGTCAGAGGGAGCTTTCCATCATGTGCCTTTTGGGGAAAACAACATTCCCCAGGACCGCAACGGCAGAGAGAGGGGGTGAAAGCACCATGGGGCCAGGTCCAACTGTTGGTCCAAGGCCAAAGCCCTATTCTTCAGGCACAGCGTCCTGCCCCACTGCTTCTCCAGGAGCTGTTGTCCATTTGCAAAGCAGTCTCTTGCAGTTTAGCACCCACCACGCTAGGATCAGGGCAAGTCTATGCTGAAAAGACAGGGAACCCTGCTCTTCATTTTGAGGGCCTTTATTGAATGTGTAGACACCAGATTAATTTTTTTTTTTTTTTCATGCAATGGTCTGTGTGAGAACCCTTTTGTTACCTGACCCTTTATGAATTAAACATTAGGAACCTCTCTTCTATAGTCCTGGCTACTAGAAAACTTGTAGTAGTGTATGGAGTTTGAAATAGCATTTAAACGTAAAAGATGACTTTTCTATTCACACATGCTTTAGTATCAGATACTTAACCAGTCATAGCAGGTGCTACCATTTTAACTTATTTATTGGCTGGCTGCCCAATGAGTGCTTGGGCTGCTTAATTTAAGGAATGGGACATTAAATGGGATGTATTATCAGGCCATTAATCTATGCCTCAATGGCATATTAAATTCTATGAGGCTGAAGGCCAAATGACTTCAATTTCATTATGAGAACAATCATGCCCTCTTACTACATGACCTACAACACTATGAAAGAATTACAATATAGAGGCATTTTTCAATAAGAAAAAATTAAGTATACCACATTTTCACTTGGTATATATGTCAAAAAAAGACCCCAGGAGTGAAGAATGGTGAGAAGCAGAAAATATAACATTTGTTTCTGCTAATTGATGATAAACTAAGTATGATATATATCACAGCTACTGTTAAGCCTCCCTCATGCTATTAAACTTCCCTCCTGCCATTTCCAGAGTAATAGTTCATGCTGCTACACCCACCAAGGTGAATTTTCAGTTTCAATTCTTAGCAAACTGCTAACGTCCATAATGTCTAATCATCTCAGTTTAGATAATATGGTTTGATCTTGTTTATACTAAATTAGTGGGGGGAATGATATAGGATTATCTTCTGTCCTTCAGGAAGGTAATTAAAAATTTTTTTTAGGGATAGAAAAATCCTACTTTGCTAGGGTTATGGCTGTTTATTTTAATTACAAAAAAGACCTGGTTACTTTTGCTATTATATATTAGAAAAAGTTACATATATATATATACACACACACACACTGCATACAAATATATATACACACAAATATATATATATACACACATACTGACTGCCAGATAAGAATGGAGAACAATTATCAGACAATGCGCTTCACAGAAGGAATTTAAATAGAAAAAAAAATGTAATGACTGGTAGTGGGGTTGAAGAATATTTAAAAATGTTTAATAATCACAATTAGAAAAGAAAGCTGGCTGAAAATTAAATTTAAAAAAATTATTAAGTGAAAATTGAAGCATATACATATTTCTCTCCATACATCCAATGAAAAGATACCATATTATACATGATTTATAAATGTACACTTCATTAATATCCCTGTGTATATAGGCACTAAAAGGACATCTAAAACAAAAAAGGAAAATTAATATTAGTTAGAAATTATGAAGTGGACAATAGATTTAAAAATAAAAAG